ATGGTATCTCTCTTTCGCAAGACAACCTTGATCCGATGGCTTTACATTCATGTTTGTAAGTGACCTAGTCACTTCAAACAAGAGTCCATCATAGTTGTCGTTGAAACTCTTAGAGAATCTCATACGACAACATCCCTTAGTCCTCCAAGGAATAAGTGTGGGAAAGAGAATGGAATTTTTTCTTTCCATTCTTCCGGGATGGAGTTAGCCATGATTTGTGACACTATTTGAAATCTTTTGACCATGCACAATAAGTTTTGTCACTCAAGAGTTTCTTGGAACAGAGGGTTGGAGGGAAGTATCCAGAACATACTCTTTGGAACAACTCCGGAGAGTTCTCCTGAGTTCTTCTTCCCATTCTTCAAGGTTTGTTAAGTTAAGCTTGATAGCTAACTTTTCGGGGAGTTTCGGGCACATATGGTTGTTGTTTGAGTTACTTGCAGACATTGTTCTACAATTGAAAGAATTTGAAGTGAAAAACCATTCATACATCAATAAGTTTGAAATTTAAAACGTTCATGCATATATTCAATCTTATTGAGCATTTTATCCACGCATTTAAAATTGTCCCTTATGGGCGAGAATAAAATGATTCTGAGATCCCAAAGATCAAGAAATGGTTAAGCATGATTTGGCTTGTCTTAATCATTAAATATCTTAAGGTAAGCAATCCAATTGCTAATAGCTCCAAGCTACTCTCGGTTTGATAAAATGTCGCATCTAATGCATCTTTGACATTTTATCTCTTTTGCAACGACATCTAAGGACTCCTTACTGATATCGTTGAGCTTAACCAAGAAAACTTGTTATACCTAGTATACCTTACGTTCCTAGGGAAGTAGTGATGCCTCGTTTTGGCGTAATCCATCACGTACGCGCATTAGTTCGGTAAGTGTTGTTCTTGGAACGACAAAATTTTAGCTCAATATTATTAAGGGACCTAGGGTTTCTATGTTGGTTGATTTAAGTGAACTTAACTAATCTTCGCAACATAATAGAAATCCTAGACATGCATCTAGAAATCATATATAATAACAATATATAATTATAAGGCATAAAATAGATGCATTTGGCAACTAGCATGACCCCTTGAAATCTTCAATTTCCATGGGTCTTCATCTTGGCTCGTCTTCGTCGAAACGCCGTCTTGAGACATGTTAGCCAAAATGAAATAAAATAAGCTAGCTAGAACGACTAAAGATTAATCTAATAGTACAAAAATACTTAACGGTTCACAGACCGTATTTAGATTTAAAAAAATACATAACGGAACGCAGTCCGTATTTTCTATCCTAGTCGGGCCCCACTAGTTGCCATTTTCAAAGACCTGTTTTGAAAACAATCTTCCATTCACCCATTCACTATTTGTGAATGGCCCATGCAAATTTTACGAAATACATAATTAAACACGCAAAACTAGTAACTAACTTAGGTGGTTAATCCAATTAACGCGCCTAATTAAAACTAGTCAAAGTGGTGTAATCCATTATTTCTAAACGCAAAATGCTAACGCACTTAATTAAGCTCCCACTAAATTCCGCATCCGTACTTAATTAATCCGATTAATTAAGTCGGCATAACCCATAATTTGTCAAAATTTTGCAAAATTGAAACCGAGGTTTTTTGCCTCGTTAAAATAATTATTTAAATTATTAAAATGGCCAAATTTTCGCAAAAACGCATAGCTCAAAATCAAGCAAAATAACCCACACAAGAATTAGGTGGAATGCGCACCATGGCTGCTAGGCAGCTCATGTGCTGCGCTTGCTGTGCTGTGCCACGCCCAGCATGGCATGCTGTGCCAGCCAACACTAGCAGCTCGCTACGCATGCTGCGCATGCTAGCTTGCTAGCTGGTGGCCTGGCAGCGTCTGGCAGGCTGGCTGGAGCTTGCTGCCTCGCTGCCCAGCAGCACGCACAAGCAATTCCAGCAGCCCTACCATGCACCTAGCACTTATGGCAGCACACCACTCCCACTGCCACACAGCAGCCACGCGCATTGGTGCAATGGCCTTGCGTACATTATAGGCAGCCACATGTGGGCTGCTAGGCAGCCCGGCTAGCCATGGTGACGCTTGCGGTTTTGCGTCGATTTGCGTGCATTTCCTCGGATTTTTAATTCTGATTTGTGTGTGACAATAATTAATTCCAAATTACATTTTAGAATTAATTTGAGGGATGATAAAATAAAATAAAATTAAGTCCCACTTAAATAAAATTTATTTTATTGGTGCAACAAAGCCTAAATTATCCAAAATTTCAATTTTTGAACAAAATTAGGTCTAATTTTATGCTTAAAAAAAATGAGCTATGTCTAAAAATAATCTTGCCAATATGCAAATTAATGATGGATTTTGACAAATGGAGATGGAAAAATAAATTAACCATCCAATGATACAAAATTTCCAACTTGCATACTTGTGTAAAATACCAAGATTACATCTTCCAATATGAAGATTTAATCAAATTTTTACTCACAAGTAAATTGAACTTGATGGATTTTAATCAACCAAAACATGAAAAAATCCAAACTTTGTTCAACATGGAAATTAGGGTTAGGGTTCCAATCATTTAAACATTTAAAGATTAGAACTTTAACATTATTTGGGAACATAAAATACAAAATCACAACAAGTTTTCACACTTTATTGAAATTTATTTGCAAAATTTGTGAAAAGAAAGTTTATGTGAAAAATTGGTATATCAACTTAAGCACTAATAAAAACTCCATTATTATGCTTAAGGATATTTTAAAACCAGTAGATTAGTGATGCAAATGTGCATTTAATCTAACCTTGTAATGCTTGCATTATTTAAGGCTTAAAAAGAATTAAAATTTTCGTAGAAAAACGAAAAACCCCCAGAAAAATTGGGTTTCTGGTTCGAATTTGGCTTCTGGACAGTCCTAAAAGGGTTGAATCTGTTCCAGAATGTCGATTCCACCCAAAAATCACTATTTTTGAGCCAAAATCTGGGTTCGACAGCCAAATCGAAAATAAAATCGAGTTTTAAAATTAATTAAAACGAGCATCTAATCTAATTATAAGAACATGAACCAGAAAATTAAATTCTAATAAAACACCTTAATTAAAAAATAATTGCGTGCTATTAAAAGGAGCGTGGCTCCGATACCACTGTAGGGTTTCGTAGTGACCCGACACTACGCGGTAGGAAACCCTCCAAGACCCGCCCCCTTAATTAAAACCATTAACAAGCATATTAAACTTAATCAAACAAGATTAAGAACAAGAATTATACCTTTGACGAGTGCTTCGCTCCCAAAGCTCTTACTTCAAAATCCCGAAAATACGAGATCTCCGACGGATCGTACCCTCGACCCGACCCGACCGTCCTAAGTCTTGAAGGTTAGTCAAGACCCGGACAAAATAACTATGAGTTTTACGAATTAAAGGTTTACTCTTACTTAGAGTTGCCTTTTTAATTCCACTCAAGGTTGTTCATTTCCTAATACCCAAGCTTGGTATTTATAGGGAAATGAACCCTTGAACTTCATTCCCCAACCAATGTGGGAGAATGAATAATTTTGCTAATTAATTTATTTCTAAAATAAATTAATAAATAAATCCAATCACACTGCAACAAGTGTCAAGGGGAGAGAGAGTTAGGTGAGGACCATGAACCTTGGGGGGGACCATTGCCTTACTCCCCAAGGCATGGCTCTAAGCCTTGGTCCCCACTCTCCTCACAAAACCGCCTCAAGCATGCTGCTGGGCTGGCAGCCAGCTGGCACTGCCAGCATGCCCAACCAGCTAGCAACAGCCCACCAAGCAGCCTTCGCATCCCAGCCAGGCAGTGCTGCTTGGTGTTGGACGATGCTTGGCGTTGGTGCGTGCCAGTGCTAGGCGCTGGTGCGTGCTGGTGCTGGCCCCAGCATCCCACGCACATACACACATACCTCGCGCATCCAGCATGCGTGCTGCTAGCGAGCCACGCATGCTGGCCCCCTTTGTCTCGAACCATACGCACACATACCTTCGCAGCATCTCTCGCACACGCACTAGCCACGCACCATGCGCACTAGCCATGCACAGCGTGCATTGGCCTCGCACCACACGCACACCCATGCATCACACAGCAGCCTTGGTGCGTGGTGATGCTGGCTGCTGTGCGTGGCCTAGCAATACGCTGGCGCCCAGGCCTTCGCATATGCATGGTGCGCTGCTTGATGCTGCCATGTGAAGGCTAGCACAAAGCCAGCACGCAAGCTGCGCCAATGCTCGCCAGGCACCCATGCTAGCACTTGGTGTTAGCGAAGGTGCTTCCATGCCAAGCACGCACGCACGCAGCACCCAGTGCCTGTGATGGTGCGCCTGGTGCCTGCGATGGGCAGCAATGGTGCCCAGCCTCATGCTAGGGCTGCGATAGCTGCGATGGGTTGCTCGGTGCTCCTGGTGCACCTATTGCTTGCGATAGGCTGCCAGGTAGCGCCTAGGCTGAGATGGTGCACCTAGGCTGCGATGCTTAGGCGCCTAGTGTGCTTAGGCTTGCGCCTAGCCATTCTAGGTGCATGCTAGCCTGAACTAGCCTAGCATCCACATGGCTAGGCCAGTGTGGTGCTAGGGCTATGTTCGTACTTGTTGCTTTGTGATTTTGCGATGCTCGGTCTCGACGCCCTAGGCTCGATATCCGACGTCTGTATTCGTAAAACTCTGCTGCCTCATTAAATCCTTTCGGATTAATTCGTCGTCTCGGATCGGTGATTCGATTGGGTTCGACCCGAAGGGTTCAGTTAAGATTAAGCTGTAACATCAATTGTATATTGATATTACTGATCGGAAGCGGCCTCCACCTAGGCATTCCGATCACTTGACCTTATTGAAGAATTAGCTCTGTAATAATTCTGAACCCTCTATCGGAAGAATACACTTGTTGGAAGGACACCATTCCTTTTAGTACCTTCAAGCCAACTATTATCTCTTAGTATGTAATAATCAATTGCGTCCGCCCAACGATCTACAAATTCATCAGCATCTAAACTACAATGATATTTTCAAACTCATCCTTCTCAGCTTCATAGTCCTCATGCTTACCAACATACCTCGAAAACTTCTGAAGTATGTGCCATATGCACCACCTATGGCAACTCTCAGGCATAGTCAAGTTTACAGCTTTCCTAATCGCCGGATCTTGATCCGTTAGGATTGAGATAGGAGCTTTAAACCCCATGCAATGTAGCCAAGTCCTCAACACCCACTCATACGTCTCCGCCATCTCCCGAGAAATCAATGCACACCCAAACAAAATACTCTGCCTATGATGGTTCACACCGACAGACACAGCAAAGGGAAGGTGAAATTTGTTTGTCAAATACTTACTGTCAAAACACACAACATCTCCAAACTCCTCATACGCAGCTCTACTCCTCGCGTCTACCCACACAACATCTTGTAATGCGCCCTCCTTCCCAAACCGACATAGATGGAAAAAATTCTGATTGTCGGCACTTATTTTGTTGAAGTATTCTATCATGCCATTTGCATCACCCTCAGTAAGCTCGAGTCTGGTTTTCTGAGCCACTGCATTCTCCAAGTCTTTTTGCATTAATTTCATCTCCTCCACTTCATTACGCTCTCTTCCTTAACAACTGTACATTTAGGATACCTTCACCTTAGACTTCTTCGCCATATGCACCTGCTTGACCAAGTGATTGTTTTTCACCATTAACTCGTGCTTCCGGTACATCGTTACATCCTTTGACTTTCCTGGCGTAATAATGTGACCTTTGTGCTCCAAATTCAGCCTTTGAACAACCCAGTTCCCATCCTCATTAACATTGGCATACAACTCCACAAGACAACCGCACTTTTTAGTCTTCCGAATCAGAATTGTCTCCTCATCTTGCAACAACCCTTCCTTCAGTGCATCCTGTTTACGCTTCCTTGAAGCATAACCATAACAGTCACAAGTCCACTTAGCATTCCTTCTCTCCTTACAACACTTTCCCTTTTCCAATTCCTTCTTCACATCCACCCACCTAGAAGCAGCCCTCACTATACCAAAACCATTTTGTCTAGCATAACTCCAGAAATAGGTATCCAACTCATCCCAACCCCCAAATACCATGCCCAATGTTAGGGGTGGTACTTCCTCTTCCACACCAAACATAGTGTTCACAATTACCGTGTTCTTCTTTGGGGTTATGAATGAGGAACCTTCTACACCACCTCCATCAAACTCCCCTTCTTCACTAGGCTCAACTTCATCTTCCTCATAAATCTGCCCCCTTATCCTTAACCTCCAGACCTCCCCCCTATTCAACCTCCTGCTCATCTCCTTCTTTAAATCCATCATCACTCTCTAATCTCTCCTCATAAACAGATACATCATCCTCGCCACCATCTTCATATCCATCACAAACATCCACCTAATTTACATACACAACCATGACTTATTCTAGATAAAGCATTACAACAAACAACCAATAACCAAATCATACACAAAAACACCGAACCCAACATACTATATCATCACATAATTCATAATAAATCAATCCAACCACATCAACTTCCCATGCATACCCACAATCCAATCACTGTCAAGGAAAAAGCAGAAGCTTAATACTTTTTTTTCCCACACCAACAGGTTCTAAAATAAATTAATTACACTAATAGAATTAGGAAATACTCATCCTTTACTCCATTCCCATTCGAAAAACAAATTCCAAAAATTATAATACAAACAAAAATTTCATCAACTCAAGTACAATACCCATTTTACCAAATAACAATGAACAATCAACATTCATATCAAAGATTTCCTCAATTAAACAATACCAATTAGCCATATACTGACTCAATTACATGCATTGAAGTTAAAATGAAATTTACAACAAATGACCCTAACCCTATTATTCTAAATAAAAGACTCTACATTTCATAATTACCCACTTCAAATACTCAATTATAACCCTCAATTTCAAAAAACAACACTAACAGAGTTAAATACTTACATTCTCAGCATCAAATCGCAATTCCCTTGCGCATTCATGTCAGACTTCGCTATCTTCCACCAATGCTTTGGCTAGATTGATACCCAAAATGTGGCCAAACTGATTTATCATCCTGATACTCTACTTCACCACTATTTATTTGCAATTTGGTCTTTAAAATTCAAGAATATAAGAACAGTGATGTCACAGTTGTTCATGAGCTTCCATTCCCCATTTTTTTTCCTCCATTTCCAATTCTGGAATCCCGCTTCTTTTTTCCTTTTTTCCTTCCCCCGTTTTGCTTTCACTGTACCGTTACAAGCATGACCCACTTTCCTTCACCAAACTTCATTTCAATTTCAGAATTGCCATCCTATTGATTACCAAACCAATAGGCGCTATGCGCCAATAGTTTTTCAACAACTATAAAACAAACAAAAGCAGGCAGCTACCTGGACTTAGCTTAAACCAGTAGCAGGACCAGACAACAGAAGCTGCAAAAGGGTAAAAAAAGAAAACAATTACAGCAAGATTCCTGTCAGGCTCTATACATCTATAGGCAACTCTAAAAAACATATCCCTAAAAAACTCTATCTGCTGGAATACAAGAACCAGTAAACATAAAGGTGCTCCTTTGTATCCATATGCTATAAATAGCTTCAGTAAGAAACATAAGAAGAAGCTTCCTCCTTGTACCTGGTTTCGTACAAAATCTCTAAATCTAACTGATCTCAAGCTCAAACCTCTGGATATTCTTGTCAAACTATAAAAGCTTATGAACTTTTAACCAAACTACCTGAGAGTAGCTACAGTTAAAGAATAGATGCTGAACACTCTCATTTGTATTCAAACACAATAAACAGATAGGGTCACAAGTAACACTCCAAGAAATCAGCCTATCTTTGGTCATCATCCTGTTCCAGAGTGCTAACCACGGAACAAAAACACTTTTAGGGGAGGCATAATTGTTACAGATCAATCTCTTCTACTCCACCTTTGGCTACTGGGGTCTGATAAGAGTATATAGTTCCTTGATCTTCATTTTCCCATGCTTCAAAACCCGATCCCATCCTCTAACATCATTAATAACCTTCCTGTATTTTAAAATATTCTTCAAAACCCAGGAGCATTTCTTTGGGACATAAGCATTCCAAAAATCTCTATCTTTTAAAATATAGGTGTGAACCCCATTTAACCTAAAGGTTATCTGCTTTATGAGAAATGTCCCAAAGTAACTTAAAAAATAGCAGCAACATTCCGTTAAGGGAGAGAGATGAGATTCCACCCACAACTCACCTTAGGCAAGAAAATAGAATTCCAGGCAACCAAAGACTTTTTAGAAGGATTAAACCTTCCTGTGCAAAGAAAAACTCTGAACTTACCTTCAATTTCCTTTAAAATCTTGAGCCCAATAAGTCTGTATGCCAAAAAGGATACTCTTGATAAAATGCATCCTACTAGCACATGAAAGGTGTATAAAACTCCAGGTAGCAATCATTGCAGTGACCTTGTCAACTAAAGGTTTACATTGCCTAATAATGAGTTTCTTGGAGGAAAGAGGAAATCCTAGGTACTTAAAGGGAATAGTCCCTTGGCTCATACCCAACAAGTTAATCAAAGTTACCTGCTCATCTTTAGAAATACCCCCTAGATACACTTTACTCTTATCCAAGCATTAAAAAGCAGCTGAAGAGAACACTAATCAGCTCTGGTAAACATCAACAAGTCATCATCAAACATTAAGTGGGTGAGATAAAGCTTTTCATACCTAGGATGATAATTGAAGTTAGGATTAAGCTTCAAATCCTGTAAATATCTAGATAAGTACTCCATTCCTATAGCAAAGAGGAAGGGAGACATGGGATAACCTTGCTTGAGAACTTTCTTTGCTACAAAAGGTGGAGAAGGAATCCTATTAATAAGGATAAAGAAAGACACTGAAACCAGGCATCCCCTGACCTAGTTAATGAAAATTCCAGGAAAACAAAGCTTAGCCATCACAGTCCGCATGAAACTCCATTCTAAAGAGTCATAAGCCTTTTTCAAATCAACTTTAAGCATACACCTGGGAGAGACAAACTTATGAGTGTACCCTTTGATAAGCTCAGTTGCTAAAAGAATGTTGTCACCAACGTGTTTCCTTGGGATTAACTCAGCCTGAGCATCATCAACAACCTCACTAATGACCAACCCCAATCTTGCGGTAAGAAATTTAGTGACAAGCTTGTACACTACAGTGCCACAAGTAATAGGTCTGAAATCCTTGGCATATGTAAGGTTCTGAACTTTAGGAAGAAGAGTTATGGTGGTGCAATTCCATTGCTTCTGCATAGAACCACTAATAAATAACTCAAGAATCCCATCACATACATCCTGTTTGACATATTCCAGGCCTTTTTGAAGAAATAAGAATTGAACCCATCTATACCAGGGGCCTTGGAATCATCAATGGTTTTTAAAGCTCTGTCAATTTCATCACAAGTAACAGGAGCTATAAGAAGATCAATAGTAGCAGTAGATAGTTGCTTACCACTCCTAAGAGTCATAAGATCAACAGCAGGCAAGCAATTAGCATTAGAACCTAGCAACTGCTTAAAGAACTTAAGGATTTCACTTTCAATATGCTGGGTTTCGTAGAGTCCAACTCTACGTGGAAACCCGCCCAAGACCCGCCCACTAATTAAGGCAACTAAGCATGTGATCACAAATTAAACAACAATTAAGAGAGAGAAAGAAAATACATTCTTACCCTTGGCACGTGCTTCGCTCGAATCCCGAGCTCTTACTTCAAAACTTGAACCCCGCAAATGCAAAGGTCTCCAACGGCTCGTACCCACGAACCCGACCCGAGCGGTCCTAGTCCCGAAGGTTATTCGGGACTTGACCAATTAAAACTAGAGTTTTACGAACTTATGGTTTTCTCACTTTCTAAGGAGATGCCTTTTTAGTTCCACTCAAATGTTCTTCCCAAATCCCAAAACCTTGGTATTTATAGGGAAATGAACCATGATTTCCCATTCACAATAAATGTGGGAGATTTGCAATTTTCCCATTATATTTTAATCAAAACAAAAAAAAAATTGCAATTCAATCACCAAGTTACAAGTGGCAATAGGAGGAGAGGGAGAAGGTGAGGACCACCAAGGGAGAGGACCAACCCACCTTGCTCCCCAAGGCAATAACCATGCAATGGTCCCCTCTTAGCAAAACTGGACCACCATGCCAAGTGGCTGGCTGGGAGCCTGCCTTGGCTACCAAGGCTGCCAGCTGGCGCCTAGCACCAAGGCTAGGCAGCCTGGCCAGCCAGCCAGCACACTCGCACAGCCAGCCACAAGCATGCGCAGCCAGCCAGTGCATGCGTGCTGCTAGCGAGCCACGCATGCTGGGCACTGCTGCTAGGCGAGGCACAGTGTGCTGCTGCTTGCTAGCACACACGCACGGCCCAGCATGCCTAGCACGCTGCTGGCTGGTGCGTGTGCTATGCTACGCTGCTGCTGCCAGTGCCTAGAATGCTATCAAGGCCTAGCCTTGCGATGCTTGCGATGGCTAGCTAGCATGCATGGTCCAAGCACGCCTAGCATGCTAGGTTTGCGGCTAATATCGCGATGCGCAT